TGGGTTTCTTGCAGTAGTGTTTTGTGGTTTTCTTTGTGTAGGTCTTTTACATCCCTGGTTAGATTTATTCCTAAGTATTTTATTTTTTTAGGGGTGGAGAGCCACAGACTCTTAATACCTCTGATGGGCTTCTAATAGTTTTCTTGCAGTCCTCTTTGCTTCTGAGCATCTAAAAGAGGCATATTCTACTTAGTGTTTACATAGGCCTTAAATTTTGTCTTGAATTGAAGAATTGCAATTCATTATTAGAAGTGAATCCTTGGTATTATAGAACATATTCTCATGTAAGAATTCATTAGATTGTATCCTCCTTAAGGGTTAGGATAGTGCTTTACTCCTAGATGCTTAGTAATTAGTTGAATAACTGATGAAGGAAGAAAGAGGTAATCTTTCTTTGTCGGTGATAAGAATGCTAACTCTATCTGTGTTTGATATTCACAGGGTTTAGGGGCTCAAGAGCAAGGAGCCACAGATCATGTTAAAGTTCAAGTTAAAAATAACCACCTGGGATTTGGAGCTACAGTCAATAATGAAGTGAGCAACAGTGTGTCTGCTGGATGTTTTCATTGCATAATTGATTTCAGTTTTGTAAATATAATAATCAAATCAAATTGATTAATTTTTACTTGTTCAAGCATATATTGTTTATGTTTTAGAAAACAAGAGAGTCCTTAACTAAACTGCTTCTTCATCATGTAACATGTCTTCATCTTGTTTTATTGTTCTTATGGGATCCTTTATTTGCTAATGCCTAAGAGATCAAAACTAGTTTTATTGCTAAACTTTGCTCCCCCCCCAAAAAAAAAAATATATATGCATATACATATATTTCTATAGAAATATTCATTTTAGGTTAGAAAAATTTTTTTATCTTTATCTGTGTTCTAATATTAGCTTATATTATTAAAAATTGTGACATTTAGTTTCAAAAATAGTGCATGAAAGTAGCATCCCATTGTTTCTTTCTGACTGTTGGTATATAGCAGTTGAATTTATTCAAATTTCTTCTTAAACATTTATGCTTTGAAAATACAATGCTGTAATTAAAAATCAATGGCCACTGTACTTACCGTTTTCAGCATCTTTGTTCCATTTTTGAAAGTGTCTAAGATGAGAGCTTTGTTCTTAAATTTTTATAGCCAACAGAATTTGGTAGAAAATCTGGATAATTACCTTAGGTAAACTGAATTACATTGATTAGTTCAATAGCTTTGAGTAGTGGACTAGAACAGCTAAAATTTTCTGGACTAACAGCTGAAATTTAAAGTTACTAAAGAAGGAGTTTATATAAAGTTGATTTTGAATGTAGTTATAAGAGATAGATATACAGATATACTCATTTTCTGAGGAGAAACATTGCCCAGTAACCTCATCAATATGCCTTAACCTTAAGCATTCTTGAAAAAGTGCATAAGACAAATTCCTACACTGAAATCCTGGTTCTCACAGATTCATGTTGTTTTGGAGATACTCCTTATAAAGCCAGATTCGCTTTGTTACAATGACCCTATTAGCTCACCACCTTACAAATGGGTACTGATTGGTGCAGAGAACTTGGATTCACCTCTTTCCTCCTCTGCAGTATTGTTTTATAAAATTGGGGCCATCGCAAGCAAATACAATTAGGCAAAATATGTTAAGCTCTAATGAGCAAAGAAAAACCCATAAACAAAGCCCATTACTGTCAAGTTGATTCTGACTCAGCGACCCGAAAGTCCCCTACTGCTCTTGTCCTTTGAATTACATAATTTCCCTTAGGGGAAAAAATATTAATTTTATTTTGCTTTACTTTAATATTTAGTGTGCAGGTTACCTGTTGGTCATTTGACTAGAGGTTGACTACTGATAGGTTATTCACATTTGAAATCAGGAGTTAAGCTTCCAAGAGACCCCTTTTTAATGTTAATATGGATAAATTATATTTCAAGTTTATATTATTTCTTTTCCATTCAAATTTATGAAGTAATGTATTTGATGAAACTCTTAAAATTTAACATTAGCTACTGTATTCCCTTGATTCCAAAATATATCTTATTTCAATCAAGATAGGTAAACTAGAAGATTGCCTCTAATTCATTTTTGGTATTTTCAGGACAACTGGATTGCTCATCAAGATGATTTTAACCAGCTTCTGGCTGAACTGAACACTTGCCATGGCCAGGAAGCAACAGGTAGGCAAAACTTTTGCTTTATTATCCATTAGGTTTATAGAAGACATAACATTTCAATTTAAAATATTTTTATCAACGCTATTTACTATAAAAAAAACAAACCAACTATTTACAATAAGCATCACATATTTGAAAGTCAATTGATTGAAGCTATTACAAATATTAATCTCTGTTTACGTTTTAATGGTACTTGCATTGAATAAACCTTTAGTCATAAAAGCAAACACTTTTCCCACTACAAGTTTTGGTTATGCAACACAAATCCATTCAGTTCCTACCTCAAATAAAGTGATCTTTCCAGAAATGCTTGCATTTGACTAAAATTATGTTTTTAAAATACAAGGCAAGAAATATCAAGTGAGACCATAAACTACCAGACAGTGAAAGATTAACAGAAAAAATCCTTTTCTGTGTTGATTCTCCCTGGTGATATCTCTTATCTTCTCATTCATGTTTTAGAGGTATAGATTGTTCAGATACAGTAAAATTTGTTACAAGGGGATCAGTACTACAAATTTTATTCCCAGTGTTAGGAAATGAAACAACTGAACCTTGAACCTTTTATAGTAAATTAACAGAAAGGGTAGTGTTTCAGGAGGTTAAGGGCATAGATGGTGTAACTGTTTCTCCTCAAACTTGTGGGCCTTGAGTAAGATTTTAGAGCTTAAGAGAATTTTTTTCTCACGTGCTTGCATAGAGTTCAAGGGTGTAATTTCAGTTAATTCTGGCTGGATATTCATAAAGAAGTCTAGAGCTATTATCTTTGTATTTTCCCTAATCAGCCTGGAGTTCTTGGTGGAATGTATAACTTGAGCAGTTTTCTTTATCCACGGGACACCTATTAGAAATATCCTAAAAGTTATATGTATGGTCCTAGAACTGTTAGGATATCTCTGATAGTTGTCCCATGGATAAAGAAAACTGCCCAACTTATACATTCCACCAAGAATAGTGGAATAGTAATAGGATAGTAATTTATTAGCAAAGAAAACCATAATGAAAGTACTGACTGGGCTAATATTAGAAAATGCAGGATATATGTAGTAGTAAAATTCAAGGACATCATTCCTTACCCATTATAAACGAAAGGCATCTTTATATTCATGATCACAGTTGAACTCAGTAGAAATGCAAGTATGAATGTAAACATGACCATATAAGACTTGTAATTTTTTATTTAAGAAGTAATAAAGTGTAGTGGTTTTGAGATGAACACCACAGCTAGACTGTCTGGATTTGAATCCTGATTCTGACAATTAGGAGTCACATGACCTTGGGTAAATTACTGAACCTCTCTGTACCTTGGTTTTCTTATGGGTAAAATGAAGATAATAGTACTATCCTTAGAAGGTTTTCATGAGAATTAAATAAATTAATACATCTAAGGTACCATGTCTGGAGACATTTTTGATTGTCACAGCTTCAAGGTGGGAAAGGGTTTGCTACTGGCATCTAGTGGATAGAGGTCAGGGGTACTGCTTAACATCCTCCAAGGTATAGGACAGCCCAAATGTCAATAGTGAAAGGTTGATGTATAAATTGAATATCTACGGAATATCTGCTCTATAGTTATTCTATATACATAGAATACTTCCAGAGAAATACTTAAGAAACTGATAACAGTGATTACCTCCAAGGAGGGGAGCTGGGTGATTGGGGAACTAGAATGAGAGGAAAACTCAATTTTTACTACGTTCCCTTTCTTCCTTTTCAATTTTGTACCATGTATATTATGTCTTAAATAAAATCATTTAAAAGTGAATTTTAACCCATTTTCTTGACCCCTTTTGCCACCTTCTGATGTTTCTGCTCTCCTTTGCTGCAAAACTTGAGTTTTTCATACTCACCGATTTCAATTCTCATTTTCTCTTTAAAAATAAACAAACAAGCCTTTAACTTTCCATGAGTTTCAGAAGTGCTGCTTAGTTTCTCAGCCTTTCAGCTGTCTCTTCTGTAGTTGACAGACACACAAAAGGAAAAACAGACCCAAGTGTCACATTCACCTCTCTGGATCTCCTCTTCCCTAATCATAGCTCTGCAATTCTTCACTGCTTTGTTAGCTCCTCAGTGCCTTTTGGCAATTTGTTTTCCCTAACAACAATTTGTTTAGGTTTTTTGTTTTCTCAGCAAAAGAGATGGTCCAAATTAGCAAGTCCACCATTACTGGAAGAAGAACTCTGCCTGGATTCTTCTTCTTCTTCTTTTTTTTTTTAAATAAACTTTCTTGAGGTATAATTTATATACAGTGTACCTATTTTGAATCTGCAGTTTGATGAGGTTTGACAAATGTATAAACCTTTGTAACAACAACAGTAATGATAAAGAAATTTTCATCACTTCAAAAAATTACTTTGGCCCACTTCCCAAGTCAGTTCCCCCTCCCCCAATTACCTGGCCCCAGACAACCACTAATTTGTCACTATAGATTAAATTTATATTTTCTATAGTTTCATCTGGCTTCTTTTTCTCAGCACAGTTTTGAGATTTACCTATGTTGCTGCATTTATCAGAGTGAATTTCTTTTTATTGCTGAGTATATTCCATTGTTTGAATATACCAGAATTTGCTTATCCATTCACCTGCTAATGAACACTGGATTGTTTTCAGTTTTTTGCTATTGTGAGTAAAGCTGCTGTGAACATTTACATGTAAGTCTTTGTGTGCACATAAGTTTTTATTTCTTTTGGGTAAATACAGAGGAGCAGAATTGCTGGGTTTCATGATAATTGTATATTTTATTTATAAGAAACTGCCAAACAATTTTCCAAAGTGGTTGTATCACAGCAAGGTATGAGAGTTCCAGGTACTCCATATCCTAACTAATTCTTGGTATTTTTGGTCTTTTAATTTTAGCCATTCTAATGAGTGTGTAGTGTTACTTCACTGTGATTTTAATTTGCATTTCTCTGAAAGCTAATGACATTGACCATCTTTTCATGTGCTTATTGGCTTCTTGCATCTTCTTCTGTCAAGTGTCCATATTTTTTGCTTGCTTTTTTTTTAAAATTTAGGTTGTTTTCTTATTATCGAGTTACAAGATTTTTTAAAGGTATTCTGGATACAAATCCTTTGTCAGATATATGTATTGTGAATATTTCCTTCCAGTCCTTGACATACCTTTTCATTTTTTTATTAGCACCATTTTAAAAAGCAGAGAATTCAAATTTTACAAAGTCCAATTTATAATTATTTTTCTTTTATGGTTCATACTTTTGGTGTTCTATCTAATGAATTTTTGCTTAGCCCAAGATTACGACATTTTCTCCTATATTTTCTTCTAGAAGTTTTATAGTTTTCGCTTTTACATTTAGGCCTGTGATCCCATTTTGAATAAATTTTTGTATGCGGTATGAGGTAAGGGTTGAATTTAGACTTTTTTCCACATGGATATCCAGTTGTTCCAGTTGTAGAAAAGATCTTCCTTTCCCCATTGAAATACCTTAACACATTGTTAAAAAAAAAAAAATCAATCGACTTTTTAAAAAAAAAGTTTAAAAAATTGGTTGACTGTATGTATACATGTGTGTCTCTGGACTGTGTATTCTGTTCTGTTGATCTGTATGTCCATCATGTTGCTAGTACCAAACTACCTTGATTACTATAGCTTTACAGTCTAAGTCTTGAAATCAGTTAGAGTGGGTCCTCCAGCTGTGTTCTGATTATTTTTTTAAGATTGTTTTGGCTATTCTAGGCCCTTTACATTTCCATACAAATTTATAAATTTTTTCATCAATTTGCCAGTTCTAGTCTTTAGACCAGTCTTTTTCAACATAGGTTTTGTGAGAGGGACATTTCATAATGATAAGAAACATTTTTTATATTTTATTAATTGAATTAACCCCTTTATCATTATGTCCTTCTTTATCCTGTTAATATTCCTATTCTCAAGTCTACTTTTTCTAATATTATAGTATTTCCAAGTCATATTTTTCCATCCTTTTACTTTTCACCTATCTTTGTCTTTGTACTTAAAGTAAATTTCTTGTATAGTTGGTCTTGCTTTTTTTTTTTAATGCAGGCTGACAATCTCTTCCTTTTAATTAGAAATCAAATATCAATTTTTTTTCCTATTGAATGTTTTGTTCTTGTCACATGGATTTTTAATAGTTCTTTACAAATGAGGGATATTCTCTGTCTGTTATATATGTTGTAGATTGTCATTTATTGTTTTACTTTATCACGTTTTTTGCCATGCAAAAAGTTTTCATTTTTTATAAAGTCAAATTATCAATATTTTCTTTTGTTGCCTCTGGATTTTGAGTCACAGAAAGATTTTCCCTATACTATGTTAAAAGAGAAATTCATATATTTTCTTCTAGTATTTTGTATGGTTTAATTTTTTACACTAAGAAATGTGATCCGTTTGGAAATTATTTTTTTGTATAGTATGAGATTAGAGCTAATTTTATCTTTTTCCATTTGGCTACTCAGTTGTACTAGCAGCATTTGTCAAAAACTCCATCTTTCTTCCTTCCAAAGAGAACAATATGGAAAGGGGGGAAAAAGAGTAGCTTTACAGTGGAAAAACCTGACAACTACTACTTCAGCCAGGTGATCAAACTTAACATTGTTAGTGATAAGTCATGTTGATAGTATGTACCCTTGATGTGTTGTGATAAGAATGGCACTTTACCTCTGTGTTTTTCCTCCCCAAACCCCATAACCTTAGTCTAATCATGAGAAAAACACCAGACAAACCCATATGAGGGGCATCCTACAATAAACTTGACCACTGCTCTTCAAAATTGTGAAGGTCATCAAAAACAAGGAAAGCGTGAGGAATTGAAATCCTATTGTTTACAACATCATTTACATACTTATGTACTCTATACTATTCCAGATATGTCCTCTCAAATCAAAGGAAAATCTGTCTTTTCCCCAGTGATTTGAGATAACACCTTTATCATGTACAAAGTTGCTATGTGTACTTGGGTCTTCTGAACTTTCTATTCCATTCTGTCGCAGCGGCGACGGTAATCAGGATGGCGAAGACAGTAACC